TGTTCATCTTCCTTTGACCTTGCCTCGGAATTTCATAGTCAAACCAAAAAAATTCAGTCCTACAGTAGTGTGTAGCTGTGAGTCTGTGTCAGAGCAGGAGATTATTTAAGTTAAATTAAAATGTATATATATAAGCATTTTAATATGTGTTTTTTTACTAAATATTTTACATTTGGCTAGTTTTTTTTCTCTAAACAAACCCAGACTTGTGGTGTTTCTTCATGGTTGTTCAGTGTAAATAGTCCATTCTAATCTGTTGCCCAGTCAGGAGCTCCATGTTGTGGAGACACCGGAGCACTCTCCACTCCAGAGTCATTAACCCTCTCTCCATCTGCTGACACAACAAAGTGAACAACCGCATAATCAGAAGACAACTGATGGAAAGATATTAGCCTGGAGGAAGGGTGAGGGCGGAGGAGAAAATGTCTTAAGCATTTCTTTAAAGAGAACACCCCCCCTCTCCCCCACGGGCTGCTCATCAGGAAATTGGGGTGTCAGCTTCCTGCCAGGGCTCATTGACCTGACAGGGCGGGTTTGCTGGGCAGCTGTCACCGACGTGTCAGTCTTGTTGTCAGCCAATCAGTCTTTGCCAACAGGGAGGAAGCTCTGAGAAAGAGAGAGGGGGTGAGGTTTTGTTTCTTGTCGTGTCATGAGAGGAAAAGTCATAAAGATCTGAGAGAAATTGGTAAAAAAAAATCTTTGTTTATAAAATATATATATTAAAAAAGATATTTCTCAACATGTCCTTCATTGTCTTAACGCTTAAGACAAACAGCGTCTCCATCAGTAGGGTGGTCTCGATACGTAACAGGAAACACCTCATCAATGCACCATGTGAATTATTAGACAAGTTAAGAATCCTCTTCTTCTACTAATGAAAAGTTGACTTTCTTCTTCCTTGTATCCGACCACCAGCTCCCCTGCTCCCTCCGAAGGTCAAACAGGTCCTCGGAGAAAATGTGTGTTGGTGCAGTGGAGGAGAACCACTCTGTATGAGTGGCCAAAAGGCTGACCAAGTGTCTCCACGTTGGACCTGCCCCTCAACCTGGGCATGTCAAATTTCTGGGGCACGGGGCCTGGCTCCCCGGGGAGTGGAGTGGAGGGTCAGGAGGATGAGGTAGAGTGGGGGTGGCATAAATAAAATAACAGTTGTATTTCACCTTGGAGTGGCTGGGTGTCTGCTGCTGCTGCTGCTGCTGCTGCTGCTGCTGCTGCTGCTGCTTCTCCTCTATGCAGATTTAAACCCAGAAAGGCTTGTGGATAACCTTGGGAAATGTGACAACTTCCTCTGGTTCTATATTGTTTTAGCTCAGGGTGTGGTCAATGTTGACGTCTGATATCCGTCAGTGACAACTTACCAGCATAAATTACCAGTGGTTTACAGTTTTGTTTTGTTTTTTGCCATATTTAGGAATGTCTTTCACACAGCTGTTGTGTGATTAATCAGACTAAAAATGTCCAAAAGCTAACAGTCAGCTCTTGACATTAGCAGCTCAGCAGCAGCAGCAGAACAACACAGTAGCTGAAATGACCCCGTAATTTTGCTACATCAAATATGAGAAAGCGTTTGTGTAGGTAATGTGCTGCACGCGAGGCAGCGGGCTGCTGTGGGTGGGGCTTACTGCACTATTCATGTCACCATCTGCTACCTCTCACAAAGCTTTGCTCCACAGGCCCATGGGGTCTGGAACCAAGTGGTGGGCTGCGTCCCTTGTCCAATTCCTTCAGCTACGCCTAAAGCTATTGCACAAACATTTGATTTAGACCAACTGGTGCCGCCGCCCTCACTGTTTCGATGTTAGCTGCACCGCCATGTGCAGGACAAACATGGAAGCAGACCACTTGTGCGATTGAAAGTCTGCTGGAATGAGTGCAGCGTGTTTGGGAGCAAACAGCAGCAGCAGCAGGGGACTTCCACTGCAATAACAGAGATCAATAAAGAAAGCACGAGGAGGGCGGCAGAAAGAGGGCGTCGGTAAAATCCCAAAGCCAACGCATGAAATATAAATGCTGTTGAAATGGACGGGATTTATTTTCGGAGCAAAACTTCCACAGATGAAATGTGGGCTGTGTTTTCCACTGCTGTCAAAAGAATGGGAAACATCTATTGGCAGAACGGCTCAGGAGACTGTTGACCCGCCGCCCCGTCTGTCTTTGAGGTGATTAAAATCTGGCAATGGCCTAATTAAAAGCCTTAGTTTGCACTTCTGAGTGAGTGTGTGTAAAATAAATCCCTGCTCTGATTAAGTGTAATATCCGTGGCGAATATCTCTGAGAGAGGCTATGTAATCGAATGGAAACATCTAATCAGTATGCAAATTGAATAGCTCATTTGCTCATTATATTAAATGAGCCGCGACTGAATTAGTTTGTCTCAATTATCTCAAAGTTGTGCCGGGCGGCTGTTTCACATCGTGGTATTTGAGCTCATATTAAAGTCTGGCCATAAAACTCCAGGCTAAGTAGGTGGGCTTGTCATGCTCCACATTAAGGACCACCCTGTCGGGTGTCACCTATGACTGATGACCAGACCATAATGTCATAATATCATCAAAGAGTGAGTGGAGAAATGTGAAGGCCAAACCTTCATGTGGCTCTGTGGGCTGCCGTAGTCTGACAGTAGGGGGTGTGAATGAGACAAGTAACAGTAACAGGACGGGGCTGAGTTGAATAAATACAGTACAACAATATATGGGAAATTAAATATCTCTAGAAATTAGATAACATAGGTTCATATTTGAATGACGACTATAGAGGATTTATTTTTCCTAATGAGCTGACCCTGATGCCCGGTATTCATGACCATTCCTGACATGGAATGATTATGAAGGTACTGTAGTAGCAACCAGCCTTTAGCCTCTAACATATAGCTTCTAAATAAATAACAGTTAAAAACAAACATACAGTGGGTACAGAAAGTATTCAGACCCCTTTAAATTTGTCACTCTTTGCTTCATTGCAGCCATTTGCTAAAATCAAAAAAGTTCATTTTATTTCTCATTAATGTACACTCAGCACCCCATCTTGACAGAAAAAAACAGAAATGTAGAAATTTTTGCAAATTTATTAAAAAAGAAAAACTGTAATATCACATGGTCATAAGTATTCAGACCCTTTGCTCAGTATTGAGTAGAAGCACCCTTTTAACCTAGTACAGCCATGAGTCTTCTTCACTGTGCTCTTTGGAACCTTGGCCAGATCTGTGCCTTGCCACAATTCTGTCTCTGAGCTCCTTGGGCAGTTCCTTCGACCTCATGTTTCTCATTTGGTCTGACATGCACTGTGAGCTGTAAGGTCTTGTATAGACAGGTTTGTGCCTTTCCTAATCAAGGCCAATCAGTTTAATTAAACACAGTTGGACTCCAGTAAAGGAGTAGAACCATCTCTAGGAGGAACAGAAGAAATTGACAGCATGTGAGTGTCACAGCAAAGGGTCTGAATACTTATGACCAGGTGATATTTCAGTTTGTCTTTTTTAATACATTTGCAGTTCTGCACAAAAGAGCATTTAGGTAAAGACCAAGCTGCTTGTTAAACATATTAATTATCTTTTAATTAATTTGTTCTGTATCCATTTGGTAGACATATAATTATCATTCTTATGTTTTGTTGTTTTTGTTTTTTTTTACTTACTAATAATGTGCTTGATATTAAGCTTATTTGTAGATGAGTAAGTTGCCATGACATGTTGCCATGGCGAGTAAGTCACCACAGTATGAAAAGACAGCAGGTGGAAGCTGGAGCTCAGTGGTGTCCTCCAGTGAGAAGTGGGAAATTATATATATATATATATGTATATATATATATATATAATTTAAAAAAAATTACAAAGAACTGAAGGCCAATGCTCTTCTTCATACTGACATTTTACTGGTATATTTTTTGGATTATATAGAACAAGGAAAACTGCTTTTGTGAATGAATATTAATGTAAAAGTCAGCCTTTAAAACTGTCATCATCAATTGTTTAAGAATAAAGTTTTTTTTAGCACTTTGACTAATTTAGACTGAATTTATATACTATATTTGTTAGTTTCGTTCAGCACTTCTTTTTTTTTTTATCAATTTGAAAAAAATGTTTAATTGTTTTTTGCTTCAATACTGCCCTCATGTGGTTTGGTTTGCAGGAATAATCCTAGACATTCGTGATAGCAAAAGTCAGTTTGTGGCTGCATGTTGCTGCAAAAGCTCAAAGTAGAAAAAACAAATTATCCATTTAAAGTAATTTAAATGGTTGTGGTAATTTTTATTTAATCATCTCGATTATCATGAGCAAGAACAAAGCAGGTTTAGAGTTTTAAAAAAAAGCTGAATAGATAATAAATATTGGCTGCTTTATCTTTAGGTTGATGAGTGTCTCTCTCCATGGGAGATGTCACAGGCTGGTCTGGTGCACTATATGAAATATAAAACAGGACGGGAACACCGTTGACAGCCATGTCACAAAGCATCAGTGAGGATGACAGGACCAAAGACCGCGTTCTGCTGCACTGACATCCCTGCAGCTAATCTGAAGGTACAGGTCCTCACAGCTGCTGTACCCAAAGATGGAGAGGGGGTCAATAATTTAGCAGTTGCAATATGTTGAGGCTGCTCCTACATTAAGGTCTCCATCTCTGCTCGGCTTGCACTCTCTCTGTCACTTTGACTTTCTCTCTTTGGTGAGTGAGCATTTTTGACCGACTGCGTCATTTTTTAGATTGAGCTACTTTTTTGATTAAAGCAAAAGTACAGAACCAGGAACCTGCCTACTACAGGCCAGGCTTCTGTACTTGTGGAGGGTTGTTGTTAACTGGCCACTGGGAGGCAGAGTTTCTGAACTGAAAGTTGAATAGTGTTTTGACAACCAAAAAAAAAAAAATGGCATCAGAACACACTACAGTATGGAGCGGAAAAAATCTGGTCTGCTGTACTTTGCCGGGAACCCAAACTGAAGATGACAGAATTAAATGAGTGAGCTCTATAGGTGGATATTGGAAAACACACCTGCCCTTGCGTCAGTACCCAAACCTCCTTTATTATTTTTACATTGAAAATTATAATTGTCTTTATTTTTATTTATTCATGTATTCAGAGCTTTGCATCGACATGAATAGCAACAAATGGATCCTCATCTTTGTTGCTGATGAAGAAGTGAGCACGGCCGTCACTGCCCACGTGGATCTGCTTCCCAGTACAGGCATTTCCTTCCTTCTGTCCAGAAATGACATCACAGTAGACTCCACCGGGCAAACCAGTGCTGAGGGTCATGTTCAGATCCCTGTGTGTCGGGGGGAGGTGACAAGTAACAACAAGATGAAAACAGGAACAAACCAATATTGTTATTGATCAGATGACCGAAATTTCCAGGTAACTTTAAACAAAATCATTTCATCTCATTAGTTTGGGTTTGTTTCTCACCAGTCATCGTTGTTAAAGACGATAAACCCGCGGTTACCACGTCCAAAGGCAACCTGATTGCTGTTGTTGTCCCACCAGTTGGTGAAAGGTTGTCCGTTGACCACATTACGGAAGATGACCATGTTCCTAAAGTGGAGATAACAACAATCAGAACCTTTTTTAGATGACATTTACATTACTGGCAGAGTAACAGACCCAGATAATGAGAACTCACTTGATTTGTCGCCATCTGTGCTCACACACCCACCCGTCTCCACAGGTCTGGTCTGGTTTGATGGGGACGGGCTTGGTGGATCCGTTACCGTGGCTGGGGGGGCCCATCCAGTCGTTCTGGTCCTACATCAAAATTGATTATTGCATCTGATAGAGCCACAGGTCATGTAACGTTGTACTGGTGTTACGTAAGTCTACCTTTCCATTCACAAAGTGGCGGTCCCAGTGGAAGCTGGACATCACTCTGGTTACTCCGTATGGGTGGGCCAGCATGAAGCCCACGCTCATTTTGTAAAGCCTTGGGTCCCAGAAAGTCAGGATGGCCGCACCGCCTGCACCATGGCCTCTCTGGTTGTCATGGTTGTCAATGAAGACCAGGGCGTTCCCATTGGGCATGAAGCCCCAGCCTTCTCCCCAGTTTCTGTAGACAAGAGGAAGAAAAAAACAAATGAGCACAGGCGATAGAAAAGCTTCTTTTCGTTTCCCGTAGAACAGCTCACACCTGGTGTAACACAGCTTCTCGTTGTTCCATTTTCTGAACACAGTTCCCAGTTTGGCACCGTATTTGAACTCCGTCACCCTTCCCAGATGGAAATACTCTGGAGCTGAAATAGCCTCACCTCCCAGATCAATAACCTAATGGAAAAAAGACCCCCAGAAAATTGATGTCAACCACGTCTTTTCAGAGCAGTGTGCTACAGAAAAAGCCACAAAAAAAATCTCCAATAAACAAAGACAGGATTTAACCACAGACTGACATCTCTGTGGGAATTACAGATTTTAAAAACTCATAACTTTCACAAAGCGCTGTGATGTTTCTGATGTTTTCTATCATAAGTCTGTCTCTTTCTCTGCTCTGCTCTGCTTTAATTTGCTTGTAATTTCTTTAGGGGCCATGACTATTTGACATTACCTGATGATGAGTGCCAGGACCTCACTGATGTTAAACTTATCTTTTATCCTTCATAACTATTTATTTTATTCCTTAAAATCACTTTTTTTTTTAAAGCACCTCTTGGAAGATGAAGGGTTTGGCGTCATCGGGGAACCACTTAGAGTTCAGGTTATGCAGACGACGAGAGACAGCGTCGAGGTCTCCAGGCCACATGTGCTTGACGGCATCCACCCTGAATCCGGCCACGCCCATGTCGATCAGTTTGTTCATGAAGTCGGCCACCTTGTCCCGAACAAAGTCCTTCTCCAGAGCCAGATCCAGCAGACTGACCAGACGACAGTCACGCACCTGGAACCATGAATACTCGTGTGTTTTATAGTCTTTATTACTGCAGTAAATGTGTTCAAATGTACTCGGTGTAAATAGTGACACATTACCTGATATTTATCGCTGTAGTTCTCAATATTTCCACTGGATGTCCTGCATTTGTAGTCGTTAAAGTCCAAGTTGGAATAAGGAACGCTGGGGAAGTCTTTGGTGCCGGCGTTGAACCAGCTGCCACATGAGGAGTGTGTTCCTTCTCCACCACCAGCTCCACACATGTGGTTGATGACGGCGTCCACGTAGATGTTGACCTGAAGGAAAGGTTTTTGGCAGATTTTAATTAAAATCACTTTGGTGTAGAGGTGGTAACAGGAAGAGTGGCCCAATGGCTTCTTTACCCCGACGTTGTTGCATCTGGTGATCATGTCTCTCAGTTCAGACTCACTACCAGATCTGGAGCACAGGTTGTAGCTGATGGGCTGGTATCTCTGCCACCAGGGCCTCCAGGGGGAGCCGAGCACGATGTGCTCATTTGGAGGGGAGATCTGAGGGACAAACAGATGACGATTGGGACCAGTTGAAATACAAGTTTGTTTCTTATAAACAGAGTTGTTATGGCACTGCTGCATAAACAAGTATTGCAGGGGATATAGATTATATAGATCATTTTTACTTTTGCAATTGTTTCTTGACATATTTCCATATTAATAATTTATTTATGTTGTTAGTCACAAGTTTAAAAAATGGTGTTAAAAAATTATAATTTACTACCATTATCTGTCTTCCTTGCACAGTAGTATACAGAATTTTCTGTGTTGATTTATCACAATTAATCATGATTAATCAGATAAAAAGTTTGAATTATTTGACAGTCCTTGATGAAACAGGATGTGATGTCATCCCCATAGAAACCATTCATACCTGAACTCCACCGAAGCCATTTGGACCCAAGAAGCGCTCGCACTCTTCAGCAATGTCGGCCCAGCGCCACTCAAACAGGTGAACGATGGATGTCCTCCCCTGCCTGAGGTGAGGGTTGTGTTGGGCCACACTGAGCCCAAACAGAGCCAGCAGCACAAACAGCTTCATGCCGTCCCTGGATGTGTGAGAGAAAACACGTCTCCTGCTGCCCCACCATGTCCATTTATACCACCGAGCAGCGGGTCCTTATCAGCATGGATGTTAAACAGGTGCATTTTTATCAAGCTCTGCCTTTGACATGCAGCAGAACATGCACAGCTTCGCCTGTTGATTCACAAATGTCAATGTTTTCTTTTTCCACCAGTCCCACGTTTTAGGCCAAACACCACTGATTACATAACAGTGACTCTCCTTGACCCAAATGTACACAGGCTGTTGCAATGGCTTTGTGGAGACTGCCAAAAAATTTGTTTTTTATATATCATTTGTTTCTGTGTATTTTTGACTGCACCTTTAATTTATCATAGAATCCTTAAAATTGTCAGTTGTTTCTTAAAGAAATCAGTCAGAAAAAATGACTAAAACTAAATTTTTATTAGGACAAAATTTTTATTTATTTGTTTTTTATCCAAATATCTTTCTTTTCTAACATAACAATTCACCTAATGTTAACGTCATTAACAAATCATGAAACATTCTGCTCTCAGCAGCCTTGTACCTGCTCTGATAGCATTGATCTCCATCATATTTGTTTTTCCTTTTATAGCTCTCTGTCCTGCCCTAACCCCCCCCCCCCCCCCCCCCCCCCCTGTGTTTTTTGTTAAAAAAAAAAAAAAAAAAAAAAAAGAAATAGCAGAAGGTTACCTGCAGCAACAGCCATTGGTGGACAGTGACTGTGAGGGAGTTCACCAGTGGGTGACAATAGTGAAGATTTTGCTGCTAATAAAGATTAAAAGGCAAAAAAATACACAAAATGCACACCTATAGGTTCCTTTTAAGAAAATGTGATATTTGATTTTTAAAGGACTCGTGACAGCATCATTACCTTAAATGTTCTGAGCAGCTGGACAGAAATCAAATTAGAGCCCACTGACAGTCACCTATATGGTTGTCATGGATATAATGGTAAACACTGGCAGATGAGTTTAATAGGTTTACGACAGTGGTGAAACCTTTACGTATGTTAATTTTTGTTTTTTACCCACCAGAGGGCGCTGCAACTCCACTTTTGGCAGTACGGGCAAAGTCTCCCATGAGGTACAGCTCACTGTTTGTGTGTGTATGTGTGTGTGTAATGTGCAATGTGCCTTCACGATGCATGTTGTCAGATGTTGTCCAACGTTCGTGGTGACAGTGACCAGACATAAATTACAGTCACTTGTTTTTCCCAGTGCCGGTGCTGTGGTGCAGAGAGGCTCAGGCAGTTACTGCAGCAGTCACCAGGCCTTGCACAGTCACTCACACACAAACACTGGACTCTGTTTGCAGTTACACTAACATTTAATCATGACAGCTCTGGCAGCTCATCAAACAATAGTACTGTTGTGTTTCATTCAGTGTCAGTGCTCTTCTTCTTCTATCAATTAATTTGCTTCACATTTATAATATTTAGATTAGCTACTTTTATTACATTTATATTTAGCAGACATTTATCAAGGTTAGATTAAGATTGTGGCTGAAGTTTTTTTTCTTCTTCTTCTTCTCTTACAGTTGTTTATCTTATCAGGACATGGATCAGGACTGAAGGGACGTTGAGGACCATCTCACACAGAGACCAAATATAGTAAGTGAAACATTAAAATATATATAAACCTCTTCCTCTCGTGGAACACACTGTATGTAGTAAATGTAGTTTTGCAAATTCACCTGTGAAATATATGAAGTAAACTGGGACTGATGAGGTTAAATATTTTCAACGGGTATAAAGACCTGGCTGCCGGTTCCTCAGACGGACAGCATACCATTAGCCTTACCTGTGTTAACTTTCCTGATTGTAAGAAGGATCAGTCAGCATCCTCCAGATCAGTGGTTCCCAAACTTCCTCTGCCACGCCCCTCCACTTGACCCACCCATACCAACCATTTCAAAACTGCGTCTTTTAGCATCTATAAAACAAACGACAGATTTTTTTTAAATCCTGCTATGTTTCATCCTGCCACACTTCACCTGCTTGCTTGCTGTCAGTTCCTACGCCCCCACCTCCCCCACCCCCCGACCCCCTACTGAGAGCGTGTCAAATGGACACCTGACCGGCCTCATTAGTTTTCACACAGGGGTCAGCCCTTCCTGTGATTCTGGACTTCACAGAGAAGTGAAAAAACATTAAGGGCCTCCAAAGTGTCGGTGCCTGAAGCACTCCCCTCAACACATGCCTTGACGTGGACTTTGGGTGTTGACACATACTGTAAAGACTGAATGTGTTTCTGTCCAACTGTACTCTGCAGATTTTTTAACATAGTAAAAATGTGAAACATAAAAAAAGTCTTGAATGCAGGGAAAAATTTCAAAACAAAACACCTTCTGTCTTTGTCTCAAAAACATCTATTTTAAGAACACATTATAATGACCAGTGTTCTTGTTGGCGACCTCTGGTTCTCACAGTGAGAACGGTTTCAGGTTAAATGAAAACTGTGTCCAAAGAGATGCAGATTGGGGTTAGGCTAATCCAAGACTAGAAACAGGCCGCAATCCCCAGTTATTATCTTGGTATCTGTTTGTGTTTGTACTCAGACCCTGTGATTGGTTGGATAAGTGTGATGAATAGATACTCAGATGGATTAAAGTCATTCATTTACGTTATGTTATGTTGTGAACCTGTGATTTACTTCGTCCTAGTACATTTAAACTACAGGCTGTGTAAAAGCACTGGACGGAACGGCAGATAAAGACCAAAACTGCTCTTATGGTTTTGGAAGTGACACAGTAGGAATTAAATCCATGGGAAAATGGAGTTCTCACCCAATTTAGAATGTCAAAAAAACGTCTTTTTCAAGGAAATGCTGTAGGGTTGAAAAAAGGCAAAAGAGAGGAAAATAGAAGATGCATTATAACCAGTAGACCCCGTCACTCAGCTGCCAGGGACTGTCCACATTTTTTTGACCGGCAAATTATGTTTTATTGTGACTTAGAGAGTCCACGTCATGGTGAGGAAAGACCTTCAAGTGGTGTTTAGTGATGATATAAAACATCAACAATGGGAGGTAGTCTCTTTTTAACATTAATGTTTTTCATGATGAAGTATTTTTTTGGTAGTTGATCATCAAGGCCTCTTTTGAATCACTCCAGGAAGTTCTCACTCCTCAGAGGCTGCATGCTCTGTGGGAAGAGATGTCAAATGAAGGGGCCTTAACTTACTCACGTTTTCCCGCGGGCCCCATACATTCCTGTCACACCAAACTCCTTTCCTGAATGCACAACACAGGACATACCTCCAGAGGCGATGAAGGGTTCCCTAAGACAAAGCTTTCTTTTACAACCCAAGCTCTGAGACAAGGTGTAGGCAGAAAACTGGTCATTTGATTCCCGCCCCTGCTTCTGTCAAGGGAAATTGGACGCGTCATAACCAAGGGAGGAGGCTGGAGGGCTGTCGAACAGACGGAGGAAAGGGAAAGTGGAAAAGAGGGAGTGGGATTTAAAAGAAAAGACAAAATGGCGTAGGCAAGTGAAGTGAGAAAAGGGAGGACGGAGGACCAGGTTACTGTTGTAATGTATATTTATATGAATATAGTAGAAAATATATAGTAGAAAATGTGTGTCTTGACTTTTCTATGGTTAATCTGCAGATTCATAGAAGATACTCTCTGCAACAGGCTTTTAGTATCATATATATATACAGTACATCTTATTGTATCATGTGGTAACATTGCAACATTGCATGATGTGGTATGGTATGTATGGTATGTATGGTA